GGGCTCTGCCGGCACAGCCGCTGAGTCGCGCCTCCTGCTCTTTGTGCGTAACGAGCTGCCGGGGCGCATCGCAGTGCAAGATGACCTGGACAACACCGAATTGCCCTTCTTCACCCTGGGTAAGACTAGACGCCGGCACACGCGGGATCCCAAGGAACCCTGGACCCCTAAGTGAGGCCAGACAAGTGGGGGCGCCCTGGGGATCCCCACCCAGGCTGCCCCGAGTGGGGTTGGCAAAGGGCAACCTGAGGGCCCCGGAGGGCGCACAGGTGGTTGGAAAGGAGTGTGGTGCAGGAGGTCCTGGAGAGAGCGCGACGGGAGCCCGGGGGCGTGCCAGTGGTCCCGCATTGGGGACCTGTCCCTTTGCCTCTCAGTCCATATATTGAACTGTGCCCCATCCATCCCGGACGCCAGAGACTCAAATCCATGAGTGTACACTGACTATAGAGTCTCGGTCAGCCCCCTCTCTGAAAACAGTTCGCGATTAACCCTCCCACTGCTCCTCCAGCCACGGTCACTGGCCGCCCACGGCTACCACCAGCTGGCTCTCGCCTTGGAGTTATGGGTTCAGCCCTTCCAGACAGATATTCTCGAGAATCACAGCGGACTAGCTCCATTTATAATGACCAAGCCCGCAAAAGCTCATCTTCTGTATGGGCTGGATGACCTTGGCCAAGTCGCTTCTCCTCTCTGAGCCTTAGTTTTGACCTTCCGTGAAATGGGGCTGGAATCCATTGAGTGATTTCCGAGGACTGGGATTCTGATTCCAAGGTCTCCACTTTTAGATTGGTTCTCTACCCTCGTTATCGCTTTGGTTTTCTACTCTCCTGGCAGAGAGTAGGTTTGTCCTCCCAGCTCAATCCCCCGGCTAATAATAATAACTTAACAGCAAAAAAAGGGAGGGGAAAGGAAAGGGTGGGTGTAGGGGGGCTCAAACGGAAAAGTTAATCAGAAAGTTCGCCAGCAGCTTTGCTGCCTGCTGATTCCCGGCGCGAATCCCGGAGGAGTCGGCCCTTCCGTGGAGCTGTGGGAAGCGCGTCTGATTTCCCACCCGGGTAATTGATAGCTTAATTATCTCGGAGAGCGTTTACAAAAATGTTGTTCCCCCTTAGCTCTCCCGCGCTTGCTGCTCGCTGGCTCTCCCCTCCCCTCTTGGGGGCGCGGGCCCGATTGGTTGTCTGAGCTGGCCAACAACAGCGCCTTACAGGCGCCGGGGGTAGCCAGGCTCCCGACCTCTCTTCCCGGGGTCCTTGGGCTCTGGCATCGCGGGGGTGACCGGCCCTTAGGTTCCCTATGCCTGAGCCTCCGGGGTTAACTCCTTGCTCGCCAGAGAAACCCTGCAGAGTAATCTATGTACTAGACTTAAACTCTCCTGGGAACCCTGATATTTAAAAATATATTTTGTGACACCCCAATTCTCTTCCCCTTTATTCAGGCTGCCTATGGGGATTTGAGCGAGTGCCAGGCTCTCTCCTGGTCTGGGCTTGATCATCCAGGTTGGGGCCGCCCTAGGCTCTCCTGGCTGGCTGTAACCTGAGAGTGCAGAGCTTTCTGGGAGGCAAAGCAGGAAAGCGTCTTACAGGTTCCCTGGGGACTTCCCACGGAGGCGCGGCGTCTGACTTGCAAGGCATACCACACACACACACACACACACACACACACACACACACACACACTCAGACACACACACACACACACACACACACACACACACACCAGTACCCCTTCCCACGTGCACCTGCGGGGCTGTCCATGTCCATGGAAGTGGATCAGAGTGGGGGGTGAATTCTTTAGGCACTGAGCTAAAAAAATTCGTCTCACAGCTCCTGTTTCCTGGACTGGCAGAGGGTGTGGGAAGGGTGGCGTGAGGGGCGGTGGTGGGGAAGTCCTGCCACTGACATAAAAGATAACCCTTTGTGACACTTCCAATCCTCCAAATCTTTCTACTCCAACGTATGGTGAGAACTCAGCTCCTAAATGGCCATTCAAAGGAGGGGGAAGGGAATCCGCCCTTGAGTGCCCTGACTTGGCACTGAGAACCCCAGAGCATTCCAGTTCCTCAAAGATGTGGAGGACCAAGTCCAGCCAGCCATAGATGCCCCAGAATTCCTGGATCTAGCAATCCTTGCCATTTTAAACTTTTGCTTTCAAGGGGATGAATGCTTGGGACTCTGAGGCAAACCCAGTGAGGAACTGGAAGTCTTGAATCCACTAGGATCCATGTGTCAGCTTGAGAGTCCCCCTGAGTCCTCCACTTGCAGCCTTCTGCTCTCTCTGACGCACAACTGCCGAGCCTTGCGGCTGGGGACTGCCTGCCCCACAGAGTGGCCAGGTGCTCTCTTCCTTGGCAGCACTGAGCCCTTTGGATGCCTGCTGGGATTGGGTTCCTACCTCCTCCTCCCCCAAGCGCCCTGGATGGCAGCTCAAGTTCTCCGACAGGGATTTGGCTAGCGAGGTAGTCACCAGATGGCAGGGTATAGCAGGAGCTGTGTAGGGAGACGTGGGCTTTTTATTTGTGTTGGTCTTCGACTGTTTGCATGTAAACACGGAGTGCACAATGAGCTCTTGGAGGGCCAGACTGGCTGGCAGTGAGGGTTGTGGTGGTGGTAATGGGGAATGACATATGAGTTGTTCATGGTCATCTCTTTTTGAGGTCCCAAGGCAACCCCATCCCATCTTCAGACCTTTTAAACTTCCTGCCCAGTGGTTGTCTCTGGTGAGTTAGGCAAGACTTTCTCTACTAGTTTGTCTGTTCAGGGAATTTGGAGATGACCAGGTGCCACAGCTAGGTGTATAAAGTTGGGGCCAAACCCTGCCAGTAGTGGGGAGTGTTGAGTCACCACTAGGGGGTGATGGTGTCTGCCAAAGGCTTCCTGACATGCTTTTGGGTCCTGGGTCCAGAGTTACTATTGGTAAAACATTTCTGTTGTTACAGTGGTGGTGGTGGTGGTGGGGAGGGCAAACAAACAAAAGGTAGATTTTCCATTTTACCCTAAATTCAGTTTGTGAGCCTCAAAGTAATTCTGCACACACTGCCTACCCTCCCCATTCTCCAAAGTCACCTTCCTACCTGGCCGTGCCTCACTGCGTTTTGCCTTTTTTATTTGAGTGATTGGCTCTGTTATTGGTAACCTCTCAATGGAAAAGGACTTTTTTTCAATTCTGTTCCTTTTCATATTTCTACTCTCTCCATCAAGTCCCCGCCTGCTTTGTGTAGATGGAAGTTTCCCTCAGATGTGAAAGATCCCCCAAGTTTCTGTGCTTGGTTCTCTTTTTTAGAATCTGATTATAAGTCAATGACATTGACAAAGTGAATTTCCCTGAAAGTGATTGAGAATGGCAAGTAGTTATTGAATCTTTAATGTATTGCTCAGAGTTTAACTCTTGCTGTGTATTATTAAGGCACACAAAATGCATAGAGTGGGCACTACTGTTATTCCCAGTTGACAGATGAGGAAGCTTTCTTAGAGGTCAAGTACCTTGTCCAAAGTCACACTGAGAGGACATGGTATATCTAGAACTGGAATCCCAGTCTGTTTGAGACTTATCTCCTTGGTAAATGCCATCCTGGTATTCTGATCCTACACACTATGAGGGTATGGCACCAGGCAGATAAGCAGAATAGCCATTAATAAGATAGGGACCTTTCTACATATGAATTTCAGTCACATTGGTGGGCAGAAGTATCAGCTTTGAAAGTGAGACATGAGTTAAATGACCTCCAGTGACCCTGGCAGCTTAAAGTTCCATGACTCATAAGATGTCAAAGGGCATTCTTCTCAATGGTGCCCATGAGTGATAAAGACCATACATTCTGTGAACATCAGGGAAGAAAGACATCTCCATAAACTTGCAGAAGATTTGGGACATTTTCTGGACCAGGAAAAAACCTGGGTAGGTATTGAAGGATTTAATAGAATATTTCAAATGCTGTATGCTAAATGTGGCTTGGGAACGTAAGGTTGGTTAGGATCTGGAAATCTCCACCCTGGCTCACTGTGACCTTGAACAAGTCATTTATCCCCCAGAGCTTTAATTCTTTGTGCTATAAAATGAGTGGGTAGATGAGCCCTAAAATAGTCCTTTGGTGTAAAGATCCTGTGAACTTGAAGTGCCCTGACCTACACCGTGACTCTGACTAGCTCCTCTTGCTTCTTACTGTGTGTTTCCCTGTGCATGGGGGTGTTGGGAGGATAGATTGAAAGGAAAGGCTTTGAATAGGAGCAACTGCCAGCGCAGGGCTTCTGAGGTGAACCTGCACGCCTCTCAGTCCTCATTTACCCCCAGGCAGCCCCAGAGTCTGCTTGTGGATTTAGCTTTCATGCCCACAGGTAGGGAAATGTCATCCTTTTTCCTGTGCTTGATAGTGGCCAAGCCAGGCAGTTTACCACCTGCCTTGATTCAGCAAAAGGGGGAAAAAGCGATAACATCGAACAACTACTCATTGTCAGCATTTCTTAGTGATTTGCTTTGCCATGTAAACCCTACAGGAGAAGAGTGTGCTCTGTATTGGGGGAAGGAAGTCTGCAGAAGGAAAAGCCACCCAGGAGTATATCTTTAAATGTACCCACCTGGGCAGGTCCTCCAGTATCTTGGTGGTCTGTTCCAAAAGGATGCTCTTCTCAAGGAGCTGATTGGTCTGGGTGGAAGACAAAGATGTAGTCTGGAACTCTAAGCTTGGTGTCCAGCAGAGGTTCCTTAAAATACAGATTAAAATGGATACTCAGAGAAAAACCTCCAGGGGGAGCGAGGGGCCGGCACTTTCCCAGAAGCGATACAGGGAAAAGGGAGTTTGGCTAAAGAAAAGCAATCCACAAAGGGCTGGAGAAACTTGCTGCATATGTCCACACACAAGGAGCAATCCGTGTTTCGTGGGGGATCTGAATTTTAAAAAAATGTTCCAAAGGTGCAGAGTGGAGCTGAGTACTACAAGAGGGTGTGTCCCATGGAGCTGTCCAGCAACCCCGTGTGCTGACCTGCATTGTGGCAAGATCCAAATAGAGTGTTCAAGAGGAGACTAGCAGCTCTTTGGCAGGCACTTGAAGGAGGGACCCAAGCCTTGGGAGACATTTGGACTGTTTGCCCTTTTTGGTTTCTGGTTTGATTCTGAAGGTTAAGA